CTTTTTTTTTTTTTTTTTATTTGGCATTGGGAATTGAACCCAGGGCCGTATGTATACTAAACAAGGGCTTTACAATACAACTGAGCTACATCTCCAGTATGATTTCTTTTTCTTTCTTTTCTTTTTTTTTGGGGGGGGTACCAGGGATTGAACTCAGGGGGACTTAAACACTGAGCCACATCTCCAGCCCTACTTTGTATTTTTTGAGAGACAGAGTCTCACTGAGTGTTTAGCATCTCACTTTTGCTGAGGCTATCTTTGAACTCATGATCCCTCTGTCTCAGCCTCCAGAGCCGCTGGGATTACAGGTGTGTATCACTGAACCTGGCTGCAATTTCATTTTTATTTGTTTATTTTTAAATTTTTGTTTAATATTTTGATTTTAGTTGTAGTTGGACACAATACCTTTATTTTATTTATTTATAAGTGATGCTGGGAGGATTGAACCCAGGGTCTCGAAGTTTCACTGCTGAGCCACAACCCCAGCCGTACAATTTCATTTTTAAAAAGCTTAATTTCCTCTTTTCCAATCTCAAATGAGTTTAAGAGTTAATTGTGTAGATGTTTACATTTTAGCTGACCCTAGCTAATTGTGTAAGAAAAATTTTCCAAGCAGCCCCGATTTTTAGTCTTTAGTCATCTGGTTTGCTTGACTAGTCAACATGGGTAGTGAAAACAATGGTCTAATTTTTTTTTTTTTTTTTTGGTACCGTGGATTGGATCCAGAAGCACGCACCACTGAGCCACATCCCCAGCACTATTTTGTATTTTATTTAGAGACAGGGTCTCACTGAGCTTCTTAGTGCCTCGCTTTTGCTAAAGCTGTCTTTGATCTTTCTGCCTCAACCTCCTGAGCCACTGGGATTACATGCATGTGCCACTGTGCCCAGTTTAGTAATGGTTTAGAAGATAGTTTGGGCTTTTTCTGGCATGTGTAGCAGACAAAACTTTTATTTTTTAATGCTGCACAAAACAGACCTTTTATTATTGCTCTGAGCTCAAGATTTTTACTTGTTTGTTCTGAGGGTCTGTCTGACTTTTATAAACACTTGTCCAGTTCTTTTTCTTTCTTTCTTTCTTTTTTAGGCTATCAGCCTTTTACCAGTGCCATAGCTCTAATCAGTGGCTAGCCAGGCAAACCTCAGTGTTATTTCTAACAGGGACCACTTGGCAGCCGGTTACCGGTGACCAAGGAGTGGCCATGCTTTGCAAAGCCATTGACTTGAAGTCTTCTTTTTTTTTTTTTTTTT